GATAGATAGATAGATAGATAGATAGATAGATAGATAGATAGATAGATAGATAGACAGATAGATGAGCTTTAAAAATAAATAAATAAGTTATTTGAATAAATACTCAAAATTGTTTACAAAAGTTTTCTGTGTTGTGGAATAATTGTTTTCACCACTATTTTTCTATCTTTCCCAAATCTTCAATGGAAATGTGTTCTGTTTTTATAATCAGAAAAAGGTGATTAAACAAGTGCGTGTATGTGTGTATACTATTTTTTTTTCTTTTGACTAAACAAACAATTCTCAATCAGGGGAAATTTTGCACCCCAGACAGCATTTGGCAATGTCTGGAAACATATTTGGTTGTCTTAGGTATGGGATGTGCTACTGGCATCTATTGGGTAGAGGTCAGGAATAATGTCAAACATCTTACAATGTACATAACAGTCCCCAATAACAAAGAATTATGCAGGCCAAAGTGTCAATAGTGGTGAGGCTGAGAAACACCAGATTAAACAAATAACTGTTTTATAAAGCTTTTATCTCTCCCTATAATTAACTTCATTAATATTATAGCCAGTTAGTTTAGATTAATGAATTTATTTATTTTTAAATCTAAAAACCTAATGCATTTCTAGCATTTTAACATATAATGGCATTTTGTATTCATTACCAAGAGTTCAAAATAAACAAGCTATTTTCACAATATCATATTTTCTCGTTGACAATAGAAGTAATTCCTAGCAAAAAATAAGTCTGACATGTTCTCTCTTTAACTCATGCCACTACTTCTTTATTTTTAAAGAAGCATCAATGGCTTGATCACAAGTGAAAATACATTTTTCTATTTATACATATCCCGATTTTTAAAGCAGTTATATTAGAAGCTATGATCTCTGTCTCAGAATTAACCAAGTGAAAATGATCTTCTGGACTGATAGTTGTTGAAAGAGACTTTCGTGTTTACCTTTATGTCTCATTAAAATGCATAATAAATTTTAGAACAAGTAATAAAAAGATACATTTTTGGACCAATCTAAAATCAAGAATTGTACTTGATTTAATTCAATAAGAGCTTAATGAGCAACTTCTGAGCATCTATCACTTTGCCAGATGTTCTACAGAGCTTAAGAGTAACATAAAATGCATTTCTTGACTTTGAAGAATATGCAACTAACCAAGAGAAAAAACGTACCCCAAGAAAGCCATTTAATTTCAAAATAAAATAGCACACGGTTAAGGACAAAAATGAGTAACTAGCACGATAGGAGTTTAAGGAACAGAAAAAATCAATATGTCAGGAATTGTCAGAGATGGCTTCATGACAAAGATGAAAATTGAGCTGACACTTAAAATAAAATTTTAATTTGACCAGCAATGAGAGGAAGTTATTTTAAGGCAGAGAAAATAACATGAACAAATTTAATAAGATAAGACTTCTTATTGAACATTGGCATGTTCATGGGGTAATGAGAAGACAACCCCAGCTAAGGCAGGTAATAAATTTGAACTGCTAGGAAGTGACCAGATTATGATGAGAATCAAATGAATAAATATTGGTAGGAAAACCCTGTGAAATACCTAAACATATAGATGGGATAAAGCATGCCATCTACAAAACAAAGTTTGGAAGTCATGTTTTCAATCTCTATCACACTTAAAGTGATTACTTAATATAGTTAACATCATCTTTCCACACACACAGACCTTTGTACTACATAAAGAAAAAATCTGACCTACATGATGTACCTAATGTTCCGTAAAAATGACCATTAGTAAAGGCAATCCAAATTTAGCCGTAGCCCCATGTAGCCTTGTGTAATCTTATGACTACATAGATAGCAAGAGTCCTCATTTCTGAAGAGAGGTGCTCTAATTAAAGATTTATTTTAATTACCTTACTCATTATCCTAATATGTTTTTGTCAAGGGAATAAGAGAGCAAGTATTCTGGTTGGTCAAGGAGTCTTACGGAAAATAGTAATGAACAATCAATGTTGCTTATTAAGGATCATTAAACTTAATTCAATACACATATGTTGAGCTCATGATTAAATGCAAGTAGATCACTGCCTCAACAACAAATAAAACAAAACAAAAAAAACCACTTGCCTCGTACCTAAATGTAGATTTTGTAATCCTTTCTATTTGTTAGAATAAACTTATCTTTCCTGACTGTAAACCCAGAACAGAGACCTTTGGAGAATAAACAGGCTTTATACTTGAGGTAAAAAGAACTCCAATGCCTAGCTCCCTTCGGTAACAATTAATATTAATAAGAACTCTCAAAGATCGGCCAATGTGTCTTTAAAATCAAAGATTAGAACCATACAGATTTATTTTTTTTTTTTTGAGACATACACACATGATTATTTAATTACAACTATAAGGAGTACAAAAAATTTCAATTGTAAATCTGAAAATACCATAATCGAATTAACTATGAAGCAAGAATCCTTAGATCTACATAAAAGAGGTTTGGGTAAATGGTAACTCACCTACAAAACATTGTTGGTTAGGAATAGATTAACCTACATGTAACAGCTCTACTTACAGAGGCTTGGTAAAATGGAGATTTGGTTTTCTTAAAAGAGCATTCCAAAGGAAGGCAGGCAAGGGCTGTTACTGGTTGTCCCGACCCGCGGGATATTCAACGCAGACCCTGGAGGGGGGAATGGGAGTGGTATGGAACAAGAGACGCGAGAGATGGGAAACAAGACAGTATTCTGATCAAGTCTCGTTTATTGATTCTTAGGTTACATCTTATATAGGAGAAGGCAGGCATGCTGCAAAGGGTCTGGAATGTAAAGATATGATAATATCTTGAGGAGAGACAAAGACAGGACATTCAAAGTAAAGGTTGCCACCCAGAATGTTTATGGTTAAACAGTTTCTAGAGAAGGATAAAAGGTCACTTGCAAATTAACTTGCATAGCTAGGAGCAATCAGTTTCTGGCATAAAGATTTCGAGGCAGTTATGTAAAGCATGGCCATCTGAGCAGATTGTCAAGCAGAAGCGGTCTCACAAGAAGGGGTGTGGAGCTTCAGGCCCCCAACATATCCCCCTTTCTTTTCTTATATGAGAAATGGAAACATAGCCCAACATAATAAGAGCTGTGTCTGGCTTAGGTTGGGATGTTCAATTCTATAACAGCTTACCCGTCATTGGGAATAACTGTAGCTGGACAGATATCCCTGTCTTAGGTTGCTGTAGAACAACACCCTCTTACCCGTCTCTGACCATTCAGCTCTATTTTTTGGAGGGCGAGCAGATCGATGTCGCTCATTAGAGGAATGTTCCATTTCCAGTCGTTGATAATGAATCTGAATGGGCTTTCTAATACACATCATTGGATGACTTCCAGCTACATTGCATGGTCCAGAACTATGTCACATGAACCACTTCTAATTGAAAAGTAGTTTAGGGAATAAACCTTTTAATTATGTACATTGCAGTCTCAAATAAAAGTAAGGAAGGAGAAGAATTGTGATTAGCAAAATTTATCAGCAGCACAAAATCAGAGTGATTGTAGTAAGACCACAGCTGTTATAATATCTTTGTTAAAGCACTAAGTGAACTGGGTCTGTAATACATAACTCCAATATCTAAGTTCCACACAAAGTTCATTTTCCAGGTTTTCATGAACTAGGTCATTTTGTGTCTTTAAGCTACATCTTTGCCTAATGGATTTCTTGGAGAACAGCCCAAGTACAGTGTGTATCCATTCACAAAAAAAAAAAAAAAGGTTCTTCATTAGTGTCACTATGCCTACAAGGGCAAGAGTGCTCTATAAATATTTCCACTCACTCAAGAAGTTACCAATTGATATATGGTGGATAATAATTGACAGATCCAATTCATAGAAGCACAAAAAAAGGAAAATTGCAGATATGCTATAAAACCTATGCTTCCCAGCTTCATTCTTCTTTTGCTAGTAAGGAAGCAGAGGTATTTCAAGACCTGTCAAATTTCTGAAAACAACAGCTCGGTAGCTAATGAAGTCTGGCACATAGTGGGTATTCAGATAGCATTTGTTGAATAAACCTTTTGCCTGTTTACCCTTATCAAAAGGTGCATAGAAATTGGTTAAAAAGAAGTATTCTTCATCCACTTGAATGAGCAGTCAAAAGTGTGTAGTCAGCATCCACTGCGTGTGGATAAAAAAGGTCTGTGTGGATCCCAAAGGAAGTGCTTGCTCTGATTCACGCCCTGGAGGTCTTAGCCTATATTTTATGTGACCTGGCAGATTTTTTTTAGCTCGCATCCAATGTTAATTTATCAACTCTGTAGGAATTGGTTTCTAAGCCATTTGGCCACCAAGGAGATTATCAACATTATAAAATCAATTCAAAACCATTTATAACAGTTTGACATCATTTCATAATTTTCTAAATCTGCGAATAAATCAGCTTAAAATGCAGATTTGGGACTATCAGTCAATGAGGAGCTTCTCAAGATGCACAAGTAACAGCCCCTACCGTGACAACTTATGATCCATTTAGGAAGACAATATGTGTATGGGGGGAAAATCATGTAATTATGTAACATTATATCTACAGCTTATCAGATTAATAGACAATAAATGTTTCATTTTTCTCAGAACACCAATAAATTTGGGCTTTGCTAAAGGAAACCAGGGAACAAATATATACTATGTGTAACTCAGAATTTGAGACCCTGATGACAGGATCATAGCAGTTTAAGGAACAGTGTATAAAATACTGTTTAGCATAGATAATCTATAAGGAATTTACTTGAACCATAGGAGGAAATAAAAGCAGTCATTCTTTTTCTTCTTTTTTAAAACATTAGGTCATGGAACTAAAGGAGTATTTGAGCTTCTGTCTGGATGGCGGAGAACCAAAGAGAATTTACCCTTCAAAGACAGGGTAGCAGATGCCTACTCTGATGTGATGGTCACCTATACCATGACCAGTTCTCTGTACTTCATCACCTTTGGCATGGGCGCCAGCCCATTCACGAACATAGAAGCTGTGAAGGTCTTCTGTCAGAACATGTGTGTCTCCATTCTGTTGAACTACTTCTACATTTTCTCCTTCTTTGGCTCCTGTCTGGTCTTCGCTGGCCAACTAGAGCAAAACCGCTACCACAGCATCTTTTGCTGTAAGATCCCTTCTGCAGAATACCTGGACCGCAAGCCCGTGTGGTTCCAGACAGTGATGAGTGACGGGCATCAACAGACATCTCATCATGAGACAAATCCTTATCAGCACCACTTCATTCAGCATTTCCTCCGTGAACACTACAATGAATGGATTACCAACATCTACGTGAAGCCATTTGTTGTCATCCTCTATCTTATTTACGCCTCCTTCTCCTTCATGGGATGCTTGCAGATCAGTGATGAAGCCAACATCATCAATCTACTAGCCAGTGATTCCCCAAGCATTTCTTATGCCACGGTTCAGCAAAAATATTTCAGCAACTATAGCCCCGTGATAGGATTCTACATCTACGAGCCTCTCGAGTACTGGAACAGCAGCGTCCAGGAGGACCTACGGAGACTCTGCAGTGGATTCACTGCAGTGTCCTGGGTCGAGCAGTACTACCAGTTCCTGAAAGTCAGCAACATCAGTGCCAATAACAAGAGTGACTTCATCAGTGTCCTACAAAGCTCATTTTTTAAAAAGCCAGAATTCCAGCATTTTCGAAATGATATCATCTTCTCCAAGGCAGGGCATGAAAACAACATCATTGCTTCTCGCTTGTACCTGGTTGCCAGGACTAGCAGAGACAAGCAGAAGGAAGTCATAGAAGTGTTGCAAAAGTTGAGACCCCTATCCCTCTCAAAGAGCATCCGATTCATCGTGTTCAACCCTTCCTTTGTGTTCATGGACCATTACAGATTGTCTGTCACAGTGCCTGTTCTGATTGCAGGCTTTGGTATTCTCCTGGTGTTAATCCTGACTTTTTTCTTAGTGATCCACCCTCTAGGAAACTTCTGGCTAATTCTTAGTGTCACCTCAATTGAGCTGGGTGTTCTCGGCTTGATGACATTATGGAACGTCGACATGGATTGCATTTCTATCTTGTGCCTTATCTACACTTTAAATTTCGCCATTGACCACTGTGCACCATTGCTTTACACATTTGTATTAGCAACTGAGCACACCCGAACGCAATGTATAAAAAGCTCCCTGCAAGAACATGGGACAGCCATTTTGCAAAATATTACTTCTTTTCTTATTGGGTTGATCCCTCTCCTATTTGTGCCTTCGAACCTGACCTTCACACTGTTCAAATGCTTGCTGCTCACTGGGGGTTGCACACTTCTGCACTGTTTTGTTATTTTACCTGTGTTCCTAACCTTTTTCCCCCCTTCCAAAAAGCACCACAAGAAAAAGAAACGTGCCAAACGAAAGGAGAGAGAGGAAATTGAGTGCATAGAAATCCAAGAGAACCCTGATCATGTCACCACAGTCTGAGGGGTGTAGACTAACGGATTATTTTTCTTTTCCAGTATTGCACAACGATGCAGAGTAAGTAGAGCTCAGACCTCAGCTGCTTGGGCTGGCCGGGGGTAACAAGGCAAGTCAGATCAAGAGTGCATTATTCATGACACATCAAGGTGCCTGTTGCTTGGGGGAAAGAGGGAATTAAAAATGAGGGAAAAGTTCTTTGCAACCTTGTTCTCCACTAAAGATAAGTTTCTGGACATGATCTTAGAGCTCTTTCAAGGAATGGATGAATCACTGGAATGTTAAGATAGAAGGCCAAAATAACAAGCTACTTTTAAAAAGAAAATGCTTAGGAGAGCTGGAGAAGAGAGTAAAGTTGTCCTCCAAATAGGGAAAAAGACATAGAAAATGTCAAAATTGTCATGGCACTTTTCATGTTTGTTTTTTTAAACAGGTTGATCAAAAGAAACCTATGCACTTGAGAAGTACATATTTAATCCTGTCGAAACCAAAGGACTTCCCAATCCATTTTATGTGTACATATATATGTATATATGCCATATATACATATACTTAGATTTGTCTTTAGTGTACATTGACGTTTGTGTGGAGGGAGGTGTCCATTTGCAAACAGGTTGGCCTTTCTCTAGAAAGTCAAATCAGCATTACCCAAATATATAGCATCATTAATAACCATTCAAAATGAGCTCAAGTGTCTCACCAGCAAGAGTGCTATTTAATTGTGTGATAAGCAAAATAAACAGAGGTGTGAGTCCATTACATTCTACATACCACGTTGTCGGGCTTTGAGACTCTTGCTTTGGATGCCTTAGGAAAAAACACAAAAGGCATTTGAATTAATTACCAAATGGTCAAGGTTTAAAACCTCATGTTAGAGATAGAGAGTTGATAGGCTTTTCCTTGGCTTTTAATAGTTCTCTGTATTTGGAAGGCTGATATGGCTGCTTTCAGAGGGCTCACCCAACTGCAAATGAGCACTTTACACATACCGTCCAAACACGTGTGTGTAAGAGTGCACAAGTGTGTGTGTGAGTTGGGGTATTCCATACTTATAGCATTCTCATTATAGATGGTAAAAAAAAATACTGCCATGGAATATAGATAATTAACATAGGAGAAAGAAGCATAAGTAGGGAACTCGTCATGGAGTGGAATAGTAGTAAATTGACCATCACCACTCCTCATGCCCTGTCAACTGGCTCTTAGTATAAGGAAAATATGCTAATCCTATAAACTCTAGTGTGTTCCTTGCATTGATATTTGGAACATTAACCCAGGCCACGATCACTATAGTAGTGGTCACTATAACTACTGCAATATTATTTTGTCACTTCTCGCAACATCATTGTTTTTGTTACTTGGAAAGTGCTCCTCAGTTGGTCCACCTGCTTGTGCCATCATCGCTCTCCACAAGTGGCATATTAACTGTCACCGCTGCTGAATTCTTTCTCTAAAAAAGTACTGAGGTAAATGTTTTTATTGAGTTAAAATTTAAAACTGCTCCCTAGCAGATAGAATCAGTCTGTTGGGTGCTTACTTGGATTGATGCTGTGCTTCCTGTCACAGAAAATTATTAGAAAATAACTTTTCCCATGTCAAGCAGTAACATAATTTATTTCCAGATAGGACAGAACAAATGTCCAACAATTAGAAGATCTGCTAGTAAGCAATTTTACCTGGAAGAAAGCTACTATTGTTTCAATCAATGAATAATATTAATATCTAAAAAAGCAAAACTCCTGGACTCAAGTTCAGAAAAGAGAGAAATATGACTCCAATCTTATTACAGTCTTTGGAAATGAAGTTGATAGATTAATAAAGTAATGAAACCAGTTTACTTTTACAAATGAAGAGTTTACCTTAATATGAAGGAAAAGGGGACAGACTCTAACATGAAAAACATTTAAGTAAAATTTTATTGTATTGAATGGGGTTTGTTTTGTCCTACCTTGAGGTTACTGAGTTTCTAGTAGAAATGATCCATGTTTTCTCCATTGTGTTTATTTGGGCACAATATCCATAGATTTGAGTATAGAAAATAATTGGCCATAATTATAGGGTTGTTGTTTTTACATCATTTGTAAAGTCATGTCACAGATAACCCTAGCCTTTTGCCTCATGAACTGCTAGGCTACGATGAAATGGTAACTATTACTAGTAGACCTCCAGGCCATGATCTCATATTTGAAGTGGAAGTTTTTGTCTTTGGTTTTAGGGAAGGGGGATGAGGAAGGATTCCTCTTTCACAGATTACCCTTATTTGGAAAGATTTTTGTTTGTTTGCCTCCCTTTCAAAAACTGGGAGGTAATCAGCTGAGAATTTACATTAACCATCACTCCATTTCTTTCCATGGTGTGCCACACTCCACTCATTCACCAGTTTTTAAAAAGCTTGCCTATTTGAGTCAGTTTCTTCTTGGTTACCTTAGACCATTCCACGTGCAAAGAAAGTTGGCAGGATGATTTACTAATAAAGAATCAAGCGTGCCAGTTGTCAAGTGCATATGAAGAAAATGGAATATACTGCCACGTCACTAGGGAGGTTCTAATATCACATCTCCATCCAGATAGACTATTTGGATAGGGAAAAACAGTTCTTTATTAAGTTATTTTTCCAAGGATCAAAGTGTCTAAAATAAAAATGATTTTTTTATTGTTCAAGTGACTAGAGGAATGGCATTTTGGAAGAGATATTATCTTTCCCAGGATACCATGGTACTCTTTAGTGAACTGTAGCAATAATTTACTGAAATGAAATTCCTTGTTCTGAAAAAGTTAATACAATGGGTCCTCAAAAAGCTTATGGAAAATGCATATTATGAAAAAACTATTAATGATTGAAAAAAATGTCTGCACCAAAATAAACTCATATTAATTTGTTATAACCTGTCTGAACAACATTAGTTTGAGGCATTACAAAGGATAAGGTATTGGTTTGGAAAGAGCCCCTATCAGAGCAACATGAATTTTGCTAAAATTGAAGCAGGAACAAACACCAAATTTATGGTAAAGCTTGGGTGGAAGAATGATGAAATCTTTGATGCTTTGCAAAAAGTTTATAGGGACAATGCCCCAAATAAATTAGCAGTTTACAAATGTATAACTGATTTTAAGAAGGGACAAGACAATGTTGAGGTTGAAGCAACAGCAGCAGACCATTCACATCAATTTGTGAGGAAAAAATTAATCTTGTTTGCACCCTAACTGAAGAGGACCAACGATTAACAACACAAACAATAGCCAGTACCATAGACATCTCAGCTGGTTCAGCTTACAGAACTCTGACTGAAAAAGTAGAGCAAACTTTCAACTCAATGGATGCCAAAATTCTTGCACTCAGATCAACTGCAGACAAGAGCAGAGCTTTCAATGGAGATTTTAAACAAGTGGGATCAAGATCCTGAAGGATTTCTTTGAAGAATTGTAACAGGAGATTAAGCATGGCTTTACCAGTATGATGATAAAGAACAATCAAATCCATGGCTACCAAGAGGTGGAAGTGGTCCAGTCAAAGCAAAAATGGACTGATCAAGAGCAAAGATCATGGCAGCAGTTTTTGAGATGCTCAAGGCATTTTGTTTGTTGACTTTCTGGAGCTCCAAAGAGTGATAACATCTTATTCTTATGAGAGTGTTTGGAGAAAGTTAGCCAAAGCTTTAGCAGAAAAACACCCAGGAAATCTTCACCGGAGAATTGTTCTTCACCACGACAATACTTCTGTTCATTCCTCTCATCAAACAAGGCAATTTTGTGAGAATTTCGACAAGAAATCATTAGGCATTCATCTTAAAGTCCTGATTTGGCTCCTCCTGATTTCTTTTTGTTTGACTAATCTTAAAAAATCTTTGAAGGACACTAATTTTTCTTCAGTTATAAATGTAAAAAGAAAAAAAAAGACTGCATTGACATGGTTAAATTCTCAGGATTCTCAGTTCTTTAGGGATGGACTAAATGGCTGGTATCATCATTTAGAAAAGTGTCTTGAACTTGGAGCTTGTGTTAAGAAATAAAGTTTACATTTTTTATTTTTATCTTTTAATTCCATGTTTTCACAAACTTTTTGAAGTCCCCTCAAATACCACCCAAAACACCTTCACTCAGTCCTAGGAAGTAATTTATGCCCAAGAAGAATCTAACTGAGCATCCTCTCACATTCCAGTGTCACTGTGAAACAGATATGTTTCAGAATTCAATTTACTGAACGTCAAGATACATCCTAAAATATGAGATTATGATTTGCAGGTAACCCTCAATCTCAGCCTTTCTTGGTAGCTCGTGTGCACCTTTCCCTGGTTTTTCAAATTACTCTCAATGTTATGTCCATTTGTAAGGTACTGATGGTGTTTAAATTAGGAACTTGTCTACTGTCCGCCAATGACCAATCAACCCCAGAAGAGAAGAAACCTGTGGGAAATATTTCAGATTTGTGGAATGGTTTATTTAGTTGAAACATGTTTTTCCCTTAAAGTAAGAGATTTTAAAAGTTTGCAAAAACACTCCTTTTCTATATTTAAACTGGAAAATGAATTTAATTCTCCCCATTAGAATTTAAATTCGAATTAGAAAGTATCATATAAGCTCTACTCTCCATTATGTTAATAATCTTCAAAGAGGTACTCACCCAAATTACAGAAAGAGATTCGGCTGAATGTTAGATTCTTAACTTACAGTTAAAGGCAATCATAGGCCAACTTAGACAGACCATGCTTAACTATTTTTAATGAGGGTTGTGCTTAGATGCCATCCCATGAATTTTTGCAGTGACATGAACCTCTTTGACGGTTGCACATGAATATTCTTTGAAAGAATTATTCTCCTCTGTGGTTGTATCATGTGAGTGTCTCTTTCCCATTTGACTCCCACTTATTTCCACAGAACTTAGGTCCTACCTTGTGAGGACAGAGGAAGAATGATGACAAGTGAAGCTCCTGTGATGTTATCATAGCCATTCTTGAATGCTGAGTTCAAGAGTGAGAGAGCTTAGTCCATTTTCTACTTACGCACTGCACTTTCCCATAATAAGCTAATCCTTGTAGGCTTCTGGTTCGAGCTGGGGATTAACTATTGTCATTCAGAATTACATGTATTTTTATAAGTTGACTGTAAATATCATAATTACAGTCACATACTTTTATGACCAAATAGTTATAAATGCACAGCACTATGCATGCATTGTTACCAGATTGTACATAGATTATCAAAGACACTATTTTCAGGTTTATTGTAACTTTTATTAAAATTCTCATATCACCTATTCATAAATGTCTGGTGGGTT